GGATGAAGGAAGCATGTCGATCCTGGGGCTGATCTGGAGAGGCCAGGGACCCCCCTGGCTCTTCAAGTGACTTGGCAGGAAAAGGACAGTCTAGGCCAGGCCCTCATCTTCCTAGTGAGACACTGAGGCCTGGAGAGGGGCAATGACCTGCCGGGACCAAGTTGCAAGCTGGGGACAGGCTGGAGATGAGACATCTGCCTTGGGCTATGCCCTGACACAGACCTACTGATTCAGCTGTGCTGCTGGAGGCTGGGTTCCCTGAGTTCCCCAACTCCGAACTGCCCTCTGGATGGAACCTGAGGGCTCAGCCCTGGCCTTCAGCGTTCTAAGGTCCCTCCCAGAGGTCCCTCTCCTCTGCCCGCTTGTTCACTTACTCGTGAGTTCACTCAACAAGCACTTAGTGAGTGGGTGCTCGGGCAGTTGAGCGTGGTCCAGGAGACCGGTCAGGCCACAGCCCCTCCGTGGTGGAGAAGGCCCCTGCCCAATGAGGGCTTGTCTGGAGGACAGGACAGAGGAAGGTCAGATGGAAAGGGTGGAAGGAAAAGCATGTACAGAGACCTGCAATGCACTGAATTAAGCCTTTAAAAGGGGTTGGTTTGAGGTTATGTGATTTCTACCTCAATGAAAACCAAGTATATGTAAGTTTAAAGAAGGTGGCATGTGTGTGCAGGCACCCAGTACTGCGAGGATGAGAGGAAGGGGAGACGGGCAGCAGCAGGGGGTGCTGAGGGACCCGACAGGCCAGAGGACCTGGGTTTTGTCCCTGGTGACACACAGCTGCAGGCCTGGCCTGTGGCCCATCCCACAGGGAGCTGACACACACCCTCTGCCAGAGAGCTGAGGGCTGGGCTGGGAAGGAAGGCCTATTAGGGTTGTCAGAGGAATGACCTTGGGGCCCAGAGACCCTGATTCAAATTGCAGCTCTGCTGCAGACTCCCCGAGATCCTGGGAAGCCCCCTCCCCATAAAAAAGGAGCAGCAGTGCTCTCATGGAGTCAAGTGTCATGGGTGCTGCAGAGCTTTGTGGGGTCTAAGGAGGGGAGAGAAGGAGGTCTGTGGGTGCTGATGTCACTGCTGGCTTCTACCTCTCACCTGAGATGGCAGGTCTAGGGGTCCCCAGCCCCCCGCCCCAGCAGGGGCCAAGGTCTGTGAGTGGGATGCTTGCCTGAGGCTGTGCACCCTGGGGCAGGCCCTGCCTGGTGTGTCTGCTTCCCCAGGCCAGTTACCCTTTGTCTGGGAAGTGGGCCTTAGGACGGTGGTGGCGAAGGGGTGCCGGAGAGGTTAAATGTCCTGGGCTGATGGGGGGATGGAGGGGTGAGGGAAGGCCAGACCCAGCGGGGACAGTCTGCTCTACAGATGAGGCTGCTGCTGCTGCTGCTGTTTGCTGAGGAGCTGCAGACAGGAAGGGGGCTGCTGTGGGGAAGAACCAAGCCCTCAAGAGCCCAGAGTCCAGGTTCTCCAGACTCATAGCCCAGACGTGGGTTCAAATAACAGGAAAGCTGTGCAGGTTATAGACGCACCAGGCACTGGGCAGGGTGTGTGCCCGAGGGTGAGCCAAGCTGACAGGCCCAGGTGGCCAGGAGCCCAGCATGTTAGTTAGGAGCATGCTCCTTGTCTGGAGAGAAATGCAAGCAAAGCTGTACACACAAGTATAATGAGCTTCTGGGCAGGAGATGCAGGGAATCTTCCGGGGTAGACTGTGATCAAGGGATCAGGGGATGCGGAGAGGAGATCAACATCAACTAGAGACAGAGAGCAGACACTGGTGCCCCAGGACCCAGAGCTCAACTGAGATGTCTTGTCCTTGGGGCAGGGCCCAGGCCGGCAGATGCCCACAACAGGGAGGGCCTAGCCAACTGGCCTTGACAGGCCAGCATCTTTCTTGTACCACAGAGAGGGGGCCCACATCTCCCAAAAGTGGGTGCTCATAGGTGCCAACTGCTTTGGCAGGTGGTTGCAGGGGCCAGGGAGGGTGGTAGAGAGGGGCTCGGGGACGGGGGGCCCGAAGGGAGAGACCAGACGCTTCATTTCCACTCTCCACAGATGGCCTCAGTCCCATTTCAACATGACCCTGAGCTGAGACTGACTGGCACTGCAAAGTTGTGAGAGCAAGTCCAGTGTGGAGGAATTGCTCCTGTCCCCAGGAGGGTCCAGGACCTTTGGGTCTGGTGGCCTGGCCCTGGCCTGGCTGGCAAACCCACCATTTCTTAGCAGTGCTATGCAGCCTGTCCCTCCAGCCACTGGGCCCAAACCTTTGTTCCCGTGGTAGCTCTGTTGGGCCCAGGGGTTTGAGACTGAATTCAGGAAGGACAGGAGCAGAAGTCGGGTGGAAGTGTCAGGGGAGATGCTGGGCTGGGCTGAGCAGTCGGCCAGGGTGGAGCTGGGCGCCACAGAGTGGAAATCCCCAGTCTCTGACCCTGAGAACAGCCCAGCTCTGACTGCTGCTGGCTGGCACACAGACATGGGCATCAGGCATTGGTGCCCGCTACACCAGGGCCAGCTTCCAGCCCCACCCAGCCCTCAGGGCAACACTGGGCACTCTCCCTGACCCCTCCTTTGGGCCACAGTGCGTCCCCAGTCTTAGTGGGCTTGGCCCTGAGGGGACTGTGAGAGTACAACAGAGGAAGAAGCTGCACTGGGAGGGGCTAGGGGTCCAGAGAGAGGACAGGGAGGACTGAAAGTCCAGGAGGGGTGGAAAGTTTTGAGATCAGGTTGGTGCCAACCTGCTGAGGGTTGGCTCCCCCTCCCCGCGCAGACCCCTATATCCCACCCCGAAAACTGCACGGCATCCTGCCTAGGCCACTGCACACCAGCACCTGAAAAGACCCCCTCCTCCTCCCTCTGACTGTCCTGACCCGAAGACCTGCCTGCCCAAGGGCTCCTGATGCACCATACCCCATGCCAGCCCACCCCACCTCACAGTGAGGATTCCAGTCGGGCCCCACCAGCCCCACAGTCCCTCCTAAGGCCACTAGGTCTGGTCATCTCGTACCTTCTAGGGGACTACTGGTCTGCACCCCTAATGGACACCTCAGAGATTCCTCCCCGCCCCCAGGAGGCTCCCTGTCCAGGTTCTGTGCAAATGTGGGGCAGCCTTGGACACAGCCAGGTTTGCAACTCTAGGGAGCCCCTGATTATATGATAACAGCAAGCATTTTGCTGAAAACTGATTTGTGTAACACCGAGCCTCAAAAGCCACTGGGAGGAAAGTTTGGATGAGTGGTGTCATCTGTGGAGAAGCATCTTAACTGGAAAGGGAGGGTGTGTGTGTGGGGGGGACATGGTCAAGGCCTCGGGGAGGCAGACTCTCACCTGAGCCCCCGGCCCACCCATCAGCCTCCCCAGCCTCAGCCTCTCTTATCAGAGGAGTGAACACTGGCTGCCCACGCCCCGTCCCCTGTCAAGTATCTTTGCTCACCTGGCAGGGTGGGGTTGATGGTCAGTGGGCCTGGGCTGGCTGTGACCCCTCCTTCCCTTTCCTGCACAGATGTCTCTTGGGACAACCCCTTGTCTGCTACCGAGCTGGCTGCTGCAGGGTGTGATGACCTGGGCATCCTGCTGAGGGCACGGCCTCCCTGATGTCCATCCCTTCATTCTCTGGATCCCAGATAAGGTTTCTAATTCCACCTTTGATACCTCGGCCAAGAAACATCATTGGCGCTGGCCCAAGCCCAGGAAGGGAAGCAACAGCAAGGGTCCCAAGCTGATGGAGTCCTCGCTTGGCTTTGTACCTACAGCTGACTGAGTCCCAGTCACCTTGCTTTTGAATCTGCTTCCTCTTTTGCGCAACGCCTGTTGGTCAGTTGCTCAGTTTGTGTCTTGCTCTTTGTGACCCCATGGACTACAGCATGCCAGGCCTCCCTGTCCATCACCAATTCCTGGAGCTTGTTCAAACTCATGTCCATCAAGTCAGTGATGCCATCCAACCATCTCATCCTCTGTCGTCCCCGTCTTCTCCCACCTTCAATCTTTGTCAGCATCAGGGTCTTTTCCAATGAGTCAGTTCTCCGCATCAGGTGGCCAAAGTATTGGAGTTTCAGCTTCAGCATCATTCCTTCCAATGAATATTCAGGACTGATTTCCTTTAGGATTGACTGGTTGAATCTCTTTGTTGTCCAAGGGACTCTCAAGAGTCTTCTCCAACACCACAGTTCGGAAGCATCAGTTCTTTAGCGCTCAGCCTTCTTTATGGTCCAACTCTCACATCCATACATGACTACTGGAAAAACCATAGCTTTGATATTGCGCAACGGAGACGTATTCAATTATCCATCCACTCTACCAATGCTCAGGCAACCAGGACACCGGGCTGGCCCAGCCCCGGTGTTCGTGGCGTTGGGCTGGGGGGAGAGGGAGCACTGGCAGGAGCTGCCACAGTAATCAATGTGCAAAAGCGAACAGTGGTGAGCGCTGAGAGCAGGCGGGCCGCCGAGCCCCGCGGGCTCGCCCCTCCCCGCCGGCAAGGTGCCAGGACGGCCTCTCAGAGGCCGGTTTTCCCGCGTCACGCGGAGACCTGCCGTCTTGGGCTCAAGGACCTTTCAGGTCCCTCCCCGGTTTGTCTAATAAGCTTTTGGGAGGAGAGGGTCTCAAAAAGCACGAGGGAGCATCTGTCGACCCGAGGCAGGGAGCTGCTGGCCCCACGGGGACTCTCGGAAGCGCGGCCGGACCCCCCGTCCCTCGGCGGCCTCGGGCTCCAGTCACACGCTCCAGCTGGCAGCGCGGTGGTCGGCGCCCCGGTCAGGGCCGCCCTTGGGTCCGGCGGGGCCGGGTCTGAGCGGACACATATTCCCCGGCGATGCCCTGGGTGCCGCACCACCAGCCACACTCGCTCGGGTGTCCTCTCGCCGACCGCCCCTCAGACGGACCGGACGGCTGAGTCCCGCCTCCCACCGCGCCCCTCCGCCTGCGCCTGCGCCTGCGCGCCGCCGCCTTGCGCAGGCTTTCCCGAAGCTCCCGCTTCCCTGAAACTTGTCCCGTGCGCCACGCCGTCGTCTCCGGGGCAACCCGGCGCCTCCTAGCAACCGCGCAGCCCGGCTATGGCGGCCGCGGGCCCCAGCGTCTTCCTGCTCATGGTCAACGGGCAGGTGGAGAGCGCCCAGGTGAGCGGCCGTGAGTCCTCCAGGGTCGAACCTCTGGGGAGGGAGCCAGCGTGACAGGCTTGGCGAGAGGTCGCGCGGACCCTCCGCCGTGAAGTGCAGTGGGGAAACAGGCCTGGAGGGTTGAGCCAGGCCGAGGCCAGAGTCGGCCGAGCCCGCGTGAAGACTAAGGCAGGGGCCTCCATCCACCCCGCGACCCTCAGCTCCTCCGGCGCGGGTTGGTCTGACACAGCGATGGTGGCAGCTGTCCTGACTCAGAGGGTGTGTGTGTCCGACGGAAGGGGACAGTGCTTTCCAGTCCCCTGCACGTCCTAAGAACCGTTTGTTATTACTGTAAGACATGATATATGCCTGTCTTTTTGCCCAGCCCCTCTCAACCAGTCCTCACAACAACTCTGTGAAGTATTACTTGCACCCCCATTTTACCGCTGGGAAGTTGCCCAAAGGAAGTGGCAAAACGAATTTGAAATCTGGTCTGATGTCAAAGCTTTGCTGGACTTGCCTTTCCAGGCTGTTTTAAAAATATTCTGATTATATTGTGAGGACTAACCGAGGTGGTGTAGGTAAAGCTCCTTGGGGTCTCTTAGTGGGCATCTCTCGCCTTTCTGTTTCATCAGGGTTGCTGCCCCACTCTCCCACCCTGCCCACCTCCTCCTTGGCCTGGTGCCGAAAGCCAGCTTCCCTTCTTCTGCTTTATCCCAGCAGGCGCCTCAGCTAGGCTGGGTCATATGTGCCTGTGTTCTCAGCAGCCCCTCATCCCTACTGTTCCTCCCCTCTGCTCAGGGCTGCTCTGCCGGCCGTCGGCTCCCACCAAGCCCTGTGTCCTGGGAGCACCTGTCTTCTAGACCTTTCACTTCAGCACCATTCCTTAGACCCTCCTGTGCCCACTCTTTGCCAGGTGCTAGGGACACAGAAAGCCCACACACCTGTCCCATGTTCACAGTCTAATGGAGTTGAGAGAAATAAACATGGTCAGTGCTGTAATGGAGCACCAGGGGCTGTGGAAGCTGGGATGTGGCTCTAACAGCCTGGGAGTCAGGGCAGGCTCCCCAGAGTGTCAGTTTTGAAGGGTGAGCAGGAATACTCCAGGTGAAGGAATGAGAAGGGCATGTCGTACAGATGTCAGAGCCTAAGCAAAAGCCTGGGGGCAGCAGTGGCCCTGGACTATTCCACATCTTGGGCCCAGACCCTCCAATGAACTCCATATCCACGCCCCCTGCTGTCTCAGCCCCCGCCCCCAGGTGCCTCATGTCCAGAGCTGCTGGTGGCTGCACCCGCCTGGCCAGCAGGTGGTCACAGCATGCGTCCCTGTGAGCAGGGCTGTGTGTGCTTATTTCCACAGTTTCCTGAGTATGACGACCTCTACTGCAAGTACTGTTTCGTGTACGGCCAGGACTGGGCCCCCACAGCGGTAAGCTGGGCCCTACGGCCTCCCAGACTCACAGCTTTTGTAACTGGAGGGGTTTCTGAAGGCTTTATCGCACCCTTTCCCCTCCCAGTTCAGAACCAGTTAAGAGTTCAGGGGTGGCACACACTTTAAGTTTGTTCCCAGTAAAGCCAGGGCAGAGAATGCAGAGATCCCTAATCCACCCCTAAGGCTGTGGTCACTCCCGGGTCCTGCCCTGCAGTGAACAAAGCCAGACCAGCCCAGTCTTGCTGGGGCCACATGCCTGAGAGGGAGACAGACTTGGGGCAGCAAACGCTCCAGGCTGTTGGCTAGTAGCAGTGCTGAGGGGAAAGTGAAGGCAGGAAGGGGAGGGGTGAGAGGCCAGAAAAGGCCTCCTTAAGACCATAACTGAGTGTAGAGCTGAAGGAAGCAGGGGGATGGGCCAAGTGGAAGGCTGTAGAAGAAACTAGCCAGGCAGAAAGACAGAGGAGAGGGCAACAGCCTGCTTGACTGTCCCCTCCTCTGCAGGAGGTGCAGGTGGAGCTTGAGCACCTGGAGAGGGGAGGGGCCTCAAGGTTTCAGGCCCTAATGGATAGAAACCCTCAAAGACCTAGGAGCCACTCTGTGAAGTCTTAGGTCCCTTTGTTTGGCAGAAGATGGTGATGAAAACAGCTCTCAGCTGCCACCTCGGGGGTGGGGTGGGAGGGCGCGGCAGCCTGGAGCTGGGACACTGGCCGTCACTGTCATTGTCCTTGCAGGGGCTGGAGGAGGGCATCTCACAGATCACCTCCAAGAGCCAAGATGCAAGGCGGGCGCTGGTGTGGAACTTCCCCATCGATGTCACCTTTAAGAGCACCAACCCCTATGGCTGTGAGTCTGCAGGCCTCGTCCTGCCCATCCCTGGGGCCCTCTACCAGCCTTGTCAGGCGCTCTCATACACCTGGCTGTTTTCCCCTCCTTCCCACTTATTTGTGTGCACTTGACCTTTCCGAGGTTCTAAGGAAGTCTGTGAGGTCCAGCCTGAAACCTTGGGCAGCGACTGCCTGCGAAAGGCAGAGCCTGGTGTCTGGGGCTCAGCAGTCTGGCACCTCAGCGGCTCTCCCCCGTCCATCACTACTGTGCTCCCGCCAGACCCGAGCCCCCTGCTCCTCCTCCAAGACCCTGCCCTGAGCCAGGGGTAGGCCCTTCTCTCTGCCACGGGCACCCGGCCCTCGTCCTACCTCTGACCTCCCAAAGTTCTCCTTGCCAGTGTCTGCAGGGTTTGTTGTCGACTGTACCTGGTCTTCAGTGATCACTTTCACTTAATTAGTGCAAGCTGCGTGCAAAGCCTGGCTCTCTCCACAGAGCTGTGCATGCTCTCCACGCGTGGGCTTGGCCGAGCTATGAGATACTATCTAGGAGGCAGGCTTCTTCCCATCTCTTCTTTTTAGGAAACCAAGACTCACAACAGTGGCATCATTTGCCTTCAGCTTCACCTCAAGTAGCTGAGCATGGATCTGATTTCACAGTCCAGGCCTTCATGCTGCATGTGGCTGGTGCCCAGGCTTAGCGGGTGTGGAGGGTCTGGGATCGTAGGTCTAGAGCAGAGGCTGCCCGGTGACCCTCCTGGGCAGGATGGCCATCCTGCTGTCCATGAATAAGAAACTCCCATTGGCTTCCTGAAAGACAGCACTAGGTAACATACCAATCTGCTGCTGCTGAGGACAGATGAATAAAGTACTTAAAAGCAAAACCAGAAAATAACCACATGAAGGCATCAGACAGGCAGTAGAGCATGGAACTTCAGCTGCGGAGCTCCAGGAGCAAAGCAGGGCTCCAGAGAGGCCCCGCCCCCACTCCCCCCGGGAGCATTTGCCGATTCTGGCAGAGGTGATGGAGATGCCCGTCAAGACTTTTGTCGGCCAGATACCAGGCTGTAATTATACAGCACAGTGAGGAAGGCACCAGGACAGACAGATCCATACGGAGCCCCAGGCAGAACTGAACCTGTGCAGACAGCTGGTTCATGACAAGGGGCAGCGCAGGAGGGGCAAGGGGACTTGAGAGTGGTCTGAGTGACCAAGAAACAGGACAAGGCCTCAGGTTTATTTTAGGAAGAACAGTTACACAATTAAGGAAAATGCAAATGAAAGCTAAAGTGAGGGGCTTCCCTGGTGGCTCAGTAGAGAATCCACCTGCCAGTGCAGGAGACACGGGTTTGATCCCTGGTCCGGGAAGATCCCACATGCTGCCCCGCAACTACTGAGCCCAGGAACCACAGCTTCTAAAGCCCTAGAGCCTGTGCACTGCAGTGAGAGAAGCCGCCACAGTGAGCAGACCTGCACGTCACAGCAAAGAGCAGCCCGGCTTGCCACGACTAGAGAAAAGCTCACAGTGATGAAGACCCAGCGCAGTCAAAAATAAATACAGTCGTATAAGAAAAAAAGAGCTAAAGTGAGTGGCCACAGTGCAGGCACCAGAACAGCCCAGTCAGGAAGCTTGAGGATGCCAAGTTGTGGTGAAGGGTGCCAAGCGTTGGCTTAGGGAACAAGGCCGGAGTGGGTGCTGCGCCCCAGGGAAGCAGCTGGGGGGACATGTGCTGAGCCCCTGCCCCACAGACACGCTAGATGGGACCAAGTCAAGCAGACTCTGTAGGTGACATGGTTTGGTTACATCTCGTGAACACTGAGTCCAATAAGCTGAAAGCAGTTATCTATGCACTGTTCCATTCCCATGGTACAAAGTTCAGAACACAGGCAGAACCAAAGGACCGAGCTGGAAACACTTGCTTTGGTGGTGAGCCTTAGGAAAAGCAGTGACAATCTCTGAACGGCCCTCCCCCGCCCCAGGAGCACTTCCTGTGGGTTGGCTGCGCCCCACCTCCTGCCTCCACCAGAGGGGCCCAGAGAGGAGGGAGTTCTCTTCTGGGCCTCCAGGGGGCAGGACTGCCCGCTGGGAACACTGGGAACTTAGGATTCCAGAGGAAGGGTGTGCAGGCCTCTGCTTCCCCTCTGTCCTCCTGGACCAGACCGCACACCACCCTTCCCAGAACCCGCCCCGCTGGCCCGAGTCTGATGCCCCCTCAGAAAAAGAGGTCCCAGGACCAGACCCCACCCGATCACACCTGGATGCCTGCTGACTTCCTGGGTCTGTGGACAGCGGAATCAGACAGCATCTTGTGCAGGGCATCGGCCAGTACTGGCCAGCTGCCAGACTCTGCCCGCCTCCTGAATCCTGGGTGGCAGAAGCCCCTGGTGCGGGGTGGGGGGGTCCCCACATCCACCCCATTCTCTGTCAGCCCCCCACCTGGGGGCTTTGAGGACTGCGGCCCTGCTCTCTGCCCTGCTTTTCCCAGGATTCCCCACAGGCTGAACCCTGCCTTGTTGTTCAAAGGGCCGCAGATCGTGCTCAGCGTGTATGGGCCGGACGTGTTCGGAAATGATGTGGTCCGAGGATACGGGGCAGTGCATGTACCCCTCTCACCTGGCCGGTAGGTCCTCCCTCCAATGTGCTCCCTGGGCCGCTGCCCGCGCAACTTAGGGAGGTGGGCACCCTCTGCCAGGCTCCTATCCAGAGGAACCCACCTGGAGGCGGGGAGTGGATGGGGCCTTGCAGGGGTGGGGGCGCCGCCCCATCTGGGAGGAGGCAGGGGTGTGGGGAGTCCTGGGCTTTGAGAGACCCCAGGGGTTGGAGTTGAGACACTCATTCCTTCTTTCCTTCCTGAGAGCCCACCCAGCTACTGCCTTTGTGTGCGGCTCTGCTGGCCTGAGGACGCTGTGTCAGACACGTGTAAGCTCAGGGCGCTGCTCTCGGCAGCTCCCAGTAGTGGGCAGGGGTGGAGAGTTGCAGCTCTGTCTTATCCAGCCCAGTGACAGATGTAGACACAGTGCAGACAGGACGTTCTGGGCACAGGGGGGCCAGGCGGGCCCTAAGGAGCAGGACTAGGTCAGAAGGGGCAGAGGGAGGAGGCACAGCGGGCAGCCGAGAGGTGTTGGGACAGGACCCGCTCGCTGATCACAGTGGGTGGGACCCTGGGGGCTGCTACAGGCTTCCTGGAGGAAAGGTATCCAGGCTGGGCCTGGAGGACAGCAGCACAGGGGGACACTGGGGAAAGGCAAGACCCTGTGAGGGCGCAGCAAAGCCAGGACTGGTGTCTGAACCCTCACATCCTCTGGCCCTTGAAAACAGGCAGGGCTCTCAGGAACTTGGCCCTGGAAGGGGCCTCAGCTTTGACCTCTGGGCACTCCAGCTCGCCCCTCACTGGAGGCTCAGAAAGTTGCAGCACTTTCCCTTGATTCAGCACAGCTGTGAAAACATTTGTTTCAGGCACAAAAAGACCATCCCCATGTTTGTCCCAGAATCTACATCTAAACTGCAAAAGTTTACCAGGTGAGTAGATGTCTATCCCCTCTGTCCCTGGGGCGGCCGTCTTGGCCTCGGTGGTCGGAAGGAGGGCTGTCACATTCCCCCCCCCNCCCCCCCGTGTCATGCTGGATACCTTTGCATGAGGGGCCTCTGCCAGGAGGTGACATCTGAGCAGGGCCTATTGCCAAGGGTGGGGCTGTCATGGCAGAGCCCAGAGAAGGTCACAGGCACAGGGAGTAGGTGGTGGACTTGGCAGCGCAGCCAGTGGGGGCTGGACACCAGGTCTGGGCGAGACCAGCTGAGGCCTCTGGCCCCTTTCCTCATCCAAACAGGAGCTGGAGGGTGGGTGGGCCTGGCTGGCTGTTGGGGGTAGGGATGGGGAACAGTCAGCTCAGCTGCCGGGTGGGCGGGCAGGACAAGGGGAACGTGGCCGGATCCTTGCTGGCTGGAGGAAGTTTCCTGAGCTCTGAGGCCTGGGGAGCATGGCTGGGTGCTTGCTGCCCTTGGGAGCTCCTCTGGAAGCCACTGTGATGGGGCCAGTGTCGGTTGGAGGTGACATCACCACCCACGGGGCAGTTGCAGGGTGTCAAGGGTCTTGTGGGTCCACACACCCTGGCCATGTCCACACTGCTCGGGGGAGAACTGTGGGCCCCCGTGTGCCGTCTCCCTGAGGAAGGGGCTTCTGGCTGGGGAAGACCTCACTGCTGACCCAGTGGTAGCAGGGGTGTCTCCTGCTCTTCTCGGGTAGGGGGGCAGGGGGCGCTCTTGCCCTGGCTGGACTGTGTGAGCTTGGATGATGGAACCCAGGGCAGCAGCTGGATCGATGGACCTCCTCAGGCCAGGGCCCCTGGGAGGCTGCTGAGAAGCTGGCCAAGCAGCCCCTCCACGCACCCCCTCTCTGGGTGCTCTGCTCCCAGGCACCCTTCCTCAGCCTGCTGCCTACCCACTCCCCTGTGGCTGCTTCCTGTGGCCACTGTGACCAGTTACCACGGACGTGGTGGCTTAAAACCGAAGACGTCAAGTTCTCTCAACAGGATCTCCTATCTCTGGGGCCATCACTCAGCCCTTCCAAACTGATGCTCAAGGGTTTCCCCAAGATGCCACCACATGGGTGACTCGGGCACATCTCTGCCCCGAGGAGCCGGTGGTATTCCTGCAGCAGCATCTATGCTTGGCACATGCTGGCCCGCGGGGCTGCTTCCCCAGCTTGGCACTTAGCGCAGCCTGAGAGGCAGGTACAGGTGGAGCCCTGCTCCTCCAACGGGGAAACTGAGGCCCAGTCAGTCAGTGATGCTCCTCCCTACCCGCCGTGGCCCACATCCCTCAGTGCCTGTGTAGGTGCAGAGGAGCCAGGCCAGTGCCACCTCCTTGCCGTTGGGAGCGAGGTGGGAGGACACTCTGCCCAGGCGGGAGGCACAGACCTCTTAGCCAGAGCCCCGTCAGGTAGGGCCTGTGATCACGTCCCCGGGACACTTGAGAACACTAGGGCCTGGAGTCGGGGAGTGACTTGTCTCGGGTCCCGCTCTACTAGGACGACAGCAGAGAGCCCAGATCTTGTTCCCCTGCCCACCCCCAAGGATGGCTGCCGGACTCTGGGGTGGGGCCCCCTGGGTTCAGGCCATGCACCCTTCCCAGCCCTAGCCCTCCCTCTGCTTTTGCCCACAGTGACCATACCTGTGGACGGCGTCCAGCTGAGGAGGAGGGTGGCATGGGGAGGCTCCACCCCCAGGAGAGGGCTGGAGGGAGAACCCAGGCCATGTCTGCAGGACCCCAAGCTCCCTTGCTCATTTGCTCCCCTGTCTTCCCAGCTGGTTCATGGGACGGCGGCCCGAGTACACAGACCCCAAAGTGGTGGCTCAGGGGGAAGGCCGGGAAGGTAAAGGTTCACCCCTCCCCCTGGGCAGGGTGGGCCTGGAAGGGACCAGGTGGGCCCCGAGGAGTCAGATGGGTAGAGCAGGGCCCAGCTCAGAGGGCTTGCCACTTCCATCGGCCCATCCCCAGGGCAGCCCCTTCTCCCAGGGAGGAATGAGGGCTGGACAGTGTCACCCCCACTTTCCAGGAGGGAACACTGAGGCTGCAGATTCCGAAAGCAGCCTGGTTCTGTCTCTGATCCAGCTCTGCTGACTCTCTTCTTCTGTCCCCAGTGACCCGTGTCCGTTCCCAGGGCTTCGTCACTCTCCTCTTCAACGTAGTGACCAAAGACATGAGGAAGCTGGGCTATGACACCGGGCCTCCGGACACGCAGGGTGTCTCAGGGCCCAGCCCGCCCCAGGGCCTCCCCCGGTGAAGGCAACAGCCCTCTGCCCAGCGATCGTATAATAAAGTGTAACCGTTTCACAGAGCCCAGGCTGGGCTGCGCCGACCTTCGCAGCACATCCCCTGGGAGCAGGGCCCAGGCCTCACCTCAGAGGGCACCGCCTATGGACGCTGCACAGGACGGCCACCAGCACACGAGCTTGGACTCAACAGCGATCCCGCGGCTCAAGGCTGTGTGCCCCTCACACCTTGACGTGCTCGGCCCTAAAACCTGCCTGCTCAGTGCCTGGCACGTGTCACACTGACCATGCTCCATGGCTCCAGTTCCATGGATGCCCGCCACCCTTGGACGGGACAGGCTGAGAGCCTCCCCAGGTGGGTGGTGTTGCAGGGGGAGAACCCACTTGCCCTCGGCCAATGCCGGGCCACCTGACTGCCCGCCGACAGCTTCAGGGGAGCCCTCTGGGCAGGTCACAGGGCTCGCCCAGTGTTCTCTCCTTGGCAGGATTTGAGGGGAGCCCCCGGCCTGACATTCTCCCAGTTCCTCCATGAACCAGAAGTTTATGCTGCTTGGGGCCACTCCCCCTGTTCCAACTCATTGTGCACCCTGGAACAGGCAGGACGCTGGCCTTCTCTGCATGAGTCCTCTCCCGCTCTGACCTCTGCTCCACAGGCGCACCCCCCGTGGCCCCATCCCAGCTCCCACACACCCCTGGCCCTCAGACCAGCCCACAGCCACCAGACTCCAGCCACCCTTGACGCATCCCCATCCACCTGGACAGTCCCTCCCTGACATGGCCTGTCTCGCAGCCCCTCCCTTGTAATGACCTTGACCTTTACCCCCAGGAGCTCCCCAGTCCACTCCTTCCCCAGTGCTCAAGCTCACGCAGGCACTGGGACCAGCTCAGTGGCCAAGCTGGGTCCGGGTGGGAACTGGCTCCTGAGCCGGCCCCTCGCAGTGTTTCGGGATTGATGAGGGTGGAGGCAGGGGAAGGACACAGCCAAAAACCGCATCATGATACAAATGATAAATTATATTTATACAGTAAATAAGTATCAACAGTCAATACAAGTTCGACACTAGCCACCTGCCCCTGGACTGAGAAGGGCTGGGCGACACCCCCACCATGGCACCTGGCAGGGGGCACTTGATAGCACACGTGCCACACTCAGCAGTGCCAGTGGCTTCATGATCAGTGCAGCAGGCAGCGGAAGAGCCCGGGGACGGGTCTGAGCAGGGGCGGGAGTTGAGGCTGCCTGGGCCTCGGAGGCCCGCTTCACGTCAGGATGGGCTCTTACTGATGAGGGATTGCTGGCCCCATCACCCAGTAGTGTGGTCCTGCCGCCTGTGCAGGCGTCAGCCCATCCCTCCCTGGAGAAGCATCTTGCCCCGAGCCCACCCTCCCCTGGGCCACTGGGAGAGGAGAGCCAGACTGGCCTTCCTGATGACTGGAGGCCACAGTCCAGCTCAAGTCTGTGGGCTGGAGGTGGCCCCTGAGAGGAGCAGCAGGGTGAGCCCTCCAGGCTGCGCTGTCAGCCTCCCATGCCCAGCACTGCAAGCAGAGGGACTTGGTGTTAACTGCCCCTGGTGCCGGAGGCGAGACGTCCGCTGTGGAGACGGAGGCTGACGTGCCCACCAGGCCAGCTGACCAGACATGGGACTCGGGGCCAATGTCCCTGCTCTGGGGAGTAGTGAGTCTCTTCTGATCTTTGTGACTTAATACTTTTTTTAATTGTGGTGGGTGGGACAAAGGAAGCTGGGGAGAGGGAGGTAAGATTAGTGCATGTTTGTTAATGTCTTTTCTGTATAAGAGTGATTTTTGTTCCTCTCCAAAGAAAGAGATGGTTATTTCTACATTGCAACATGTGGCTGGAGGGCAGGTGAGTGTGTGGGAGCCAGGCCTGGGCCGCAGCCCGTCAGCCTAGGGCTGCCCCAGGAGCCACAGCAGAGCCCCACTGCCCCTCGACAAGCTGCCAGCACTGTCCCCACCTCTGCCCTGAGGGTGGAGTTAAGGGGGAGGTCACAGAGACAGAGTTCCATCCCATGTTTCTACTGTAAACGCAAGTCCTGTTAACTGCATGCCTTCAGTCACAGAAGTCAGCTGATAAAACCTGGTGAGTCACATTCATATGTTAGATTTTGTTTTTAACTTTCTTCATGTTGGTACATCAGTAAGAAAAATAGCCTCTCTCTTAGGATCTAGCCAAAAAGGCTGAAAGTCAGTTTGGTAATTTACCAAAAAAGGGAGTTAAAGGAAAAGGCAACTGGAGGCTACAATTTTTTGTTACTATTGTAGGTTTTTTTTTTTTTAAATATCATCTTTTATGTGTAATCAAATTCCCATATTTCTCCTATAAAGAATTTGCTTTAGTTTTCCCATAAGGCATTTTTTTGTCTCTTCGTATTTAAATTTTTTTACAGTTAAAACCATAAATAAGAGAATTTAAACCACTAACATGACACTGCCAATATCTTAATTCAGCCAGACCTGGTAAATTCTATCAAAACTAGACAGTTAAATAAGAACCACGTTATAAAAATATTAGCCAAAAAAAGACTATTCGATAATTCTGCAAACTCAAATATGAAACTGTACTAAACAAAATCTGTGCAAACGCATACAAGCATGGAGCACGTGGCAGGGCTACGCTCAAGTTAGTTTAAAGCTTCTCTAGTGGATTTAATTCAAGAGTTGTTCCACGGTGGTGGTGTTCACTTTGAACTCATGCATGAGTCAAAGAAAAGTAAAACACACACAACCGCGTCCCCCAAAGGTCAGTGTCTGAGGGCACCGGTACTCCATCCGGTCCATGCCTGGGGTTGCCCGGGGTGTCCCCGGGGCTGGGTCCCGGGAGAGGCTGTCCCAGAGACCCTGGGCTGAGGCTGGACTGGCACTGCACGTGGCCGCCGCCTTGGCCAAGCCCCCAAGAGCTGGCAGATCCCCACGGAGGCAGCACGGTGGCCAGGCTGGGTCAGGGGACCCGCATGCTGTGTGATGCCTCTGTCTGCTGCCACCACTCACCCCTCAGACTGAGGCCTGGGACCAGAGAGACACCCTCTGCTCAGGAAGCCAGACGGGACGCCATGACACCCATCCCCCTGATCCCCGACCCCTTCCACAAGCAACAGTCCCTGCTCGGCGTCCTCGGCATGGATGCTCTGCACGGGTCCCAGCCTGGCACTAGAGGAGGAACGGGTTGGTTGTGCCGGTGGCCTGAGCTGCTGACGGGGGTACACCCAGGCTGCCCACCATGTTCATCGCAGCAGGGCCCAGCGGCGGCAGGGAGGAGCTGCTGGCCCCCAGGGGTGGGTGGGAGGCTGCGGAGGTCATGGAGGCCACAGGCTCCATGCCTGGGCTGGGCCCAAAGGACACGCTGCCCCCTAGCACTGGGCTCCCCCGCAGCTGGTTCAGCGTCAGGGGCTGCGGCTGGTTCACCTGGAAGGGGTTGACGGGGGCCGAGGCCGTGGCGGCACCTGGGGAGAAAGTGGGAGGGGCAGTGGCTGTGGTCAGAGCAGCAGTGTCCCTGGGCCCCAGGGCAGGAGTGCAACACCAGAGAGGCCACCCAGGTAGCCCCACCTCCAGGCATGATGTCCAGAGGAGGAAACTCAGGCTGTGAGGAGCCAAGTGATGGGCCAGGCTCACAGGGCCCAGTGCCTATTCCAGGCTGGCACCCTGGGCACCATCAGCAGCAACCATAGGTGCGGGGAGAGAGGGGAGCCACGGGGGAGACAGGACAAGCAGTGCAGCCTGAGAGCAGTCCCCATATGCTGCACCCGGGGACCCTGACCTCATGAAATCTCTGAGAAGTCCCACTGTCAAGGAGAGACACAGATCCCTATCCCCTCAGGAGCTCACGGCTGGGGGTTCTGCACTTTTGCTAGAGGGTCTCAGAACTCGGCCCTGCCAAGTCCTCAGGCCAAATGCCCTGAACATGACCCGTTCCTATCCTTGGAGAGCCCAAGGAAAACTCAGGGAAGGGTTGGGGCGCCTCAAGGAAGAGGGTTGCCTGGACTGGGGCCGAAGGGTAGGCCTGACCCTCCCACCCAGGGAGAAGCAAAACAGCCTGGCCGGTGGGACAGAGCATGTGGGGGGGACGGTGAGTGGCTCACACAGCTGAGGGTATGAGTATACAGGGGCTCGGGACTGGGGAGGGACACGCTGACTTGAGGGCAGGGGCCTGTCCTGCAGCCTTGTGGAGCCCCTGAGGGTGGAGGGCCCACCAGCAGGGAGGATGGGCTTGGGACGGAGGGCGGAGTTCTGGCCCCAGAAGAGGCAGAACCCAGAGCAGGGCCAAAGTGAGGGTGCCTGGAGCATAGCTTGGCAGAGGGCCCAGGTATACTCACCTGGAACAGGGGCAGCCAACCCTGGCTCCCCTGGCCCCCAGCACTGGCCCAAACTGGTGCTCGCTAGAGGGTCTCCCTGGCTGGGGGCACCAAGCCAGGGGCAGCTTCTGCTCAGTGGTCTCAATTGAGAGGAGGGGCTGTATGCCAGCCCCTCACGAGGCCCCCGAAAGGCACCAGCACTGGCCCAGGATGCAGGCGCTCCAGAGCATGCTCCCCACCTGCCTATGGCCTGTGGGAAAAGTCCACCCAGGGTTGGAGGAGAGGTCAACGCCCACAGGCCTGCCCCAGGGCCACTCTCAAGAAGGGTGGACGGCTAGGGGAACCCAGGAAGCCACATACCTGGTGCCAGGAAGGGGTTGAGGGCCTGTGCCGGCGGGGCTGGCCTGGTTACCAGTGAGTCCAGGTTGACCAGGGCCGCATTGGGGCCCAGGAAGGACTCTGGGGTTTTCCGGGCACCACTGGGCTTGCTCGAGGCGATGGTCAGGGGCTGAGACTCAAAGGGATCAGGGCTGGAGGTTCCATTGTTCTGGGCCGGCGGAGAGGCTGCCTTGGCTGCAAGACAAGGACACACACGGACCGATGAGCTTGGAGGCCAGGGGCCCAGGACAGGTGCATCCCACCCTGCAGTGTCCAGAACCCAGATGTCCTCAGATGCTGCCTTGCTGGGGATGTGCACGGCTGCCCCAGAGGATAGGACATTCATGGCAGAGCTTTCCCAACAGCACCAAACTGGAGCCGCC